ATCCATTGTGGTGGTGTATAGAGCCAAAGATGTTAGAATTGTGTCAATCTCCCAATATTTCTGGACCTGACTGTATGTGCACTAAGGATTCTGGCTTGTTAAAGAAAGAGCAAGACAAAGTCAAAAGCTTTGGTTTGTCTAACTCTGGATTGTTTAGAGAGGAATAAAGTAGAGGTTCTTGTTCTGTAAAAAACAAGGTGAGATCCCTCCTGGTTTGTTTAGCTTAGGGTTTCTCAAACTTGGGAAATGTAAGATGTGTGGTCTTCAACTCCCAGAACTCCCCAGCCGGCATAGAACCGGATTATCCATGATGCTTATTCCTAGATAAGCCAGATTTATGTACAATTGAGGTTTGCTACTATGTGTGAACATAGTGTTGTTTCTTGGTCAGTAAAGGATGGAGGGAAATGATACACCCTTACGGAATTAACATAAGCCTCATAATCAGACAGAAAGAAACCTGTTGCCCCAGATTTGCCTGTTCCTGATGTGCACACCTGACTGCTTTTAATAAATAGAAAAATACAGTTCCACATAAAGAGGTAATGCTATATTAGCAAATTTAACAATCAAAACATTTTACCTGAATGGCATAGCCTTATAAAATGTATTCAAGGGCTTTGGCCCTGCTGTGTATTTGCTGATGATCAGGGGCAGTATGATTTGCAATGGAACCATTGGAACAGCAAGCAGAGCTAAATGTTCCTTAGGCACACCTTCTTCTACCAGTTTGAGACCTGTTACAGCATCTGCTGCTGAGAAACCAACCTGCAACATAAAATCTTGTTAATTTTCTATAAGATTATTAGTTTTAGGTTTTTCTCAAATTTGTCTTCATAACTAATTTTATAACTTGCCATTGCTTTTTTACTGGTCTGATAGTGATGTAAACCACTTTTGATTTAAATGAAACTTGAACCCAGGTTCAAGTCAATAATGTGAAAGTTATAAAAATATTCATTTGACCCAAAAAAGTCTTATTCATCCTGTTTACCATTATGCAATAAGAAATGCATGCAAACATTATGATTTTTAAGTCATTTTGTTTTCCCGCCTGAACCTATGTCCTTTTCATAAAACATGCTTTACAAACTATTCTTATTCACGTACAAACCTGGGATGAGCAGTAACACAGAAAAATTAAGCATGCATGCCTTGCTCTGTAAACTAATAATCACAAATCTTATTTAAAAAAAAAAATCATCACCAAATAGTCTTTAGGATTGTAAAAAGTCAGTGCTCCCCATACAATCATGACCTAAACACTAGAACATCCCTGTTACATCTTACACACTGTGTTTTTACACAGATTGCTGGCACAGTGGTAAGATTGCCATTTGAGTACAGGTACTCCTTGACCTACGACCATTCATTCAGCGACCGTTCAAAAATGTGATGGCACTGAACAAATGGTGATTACGACGGGGCCTCGAAGTTCCGGCTGTCCCAGCACCCCCACAGTCACATGATTGCAATCTGGACACTTGGCAACTGGTTCGCACTTACAACCAGTTGCAGTGCTCTGCAATCATGTGACTGCCATTTGCAACCTTCCCTGCTGGCTTCCCCAGAAAGTCACTCCTGCACCCCTGCACCCCTTCACGCACCCTCCCCGCACCTCTCATGCACCCCCTCACAGAGCCTCCCAGGACCTCTCACACACCTCCTCACACACTCCCCGACCCTCTCACACACCCTCCCCACACCTCCCATGTACCTTCTTGCACCCTCCCCAATCCTTACTGTGCCTCCCATGCACCCCCTCACACCCTGTCCAACCTGCGCCACATCCTCATGCACACTCCAACCTTCGCTGTGCCTCCCCCACACTCCCTCTACCACCCAGCAGAAGCCACTTACCTGCCTGCCAGCCTGGGACTTGCAACTCCCTGCCAGCTTCCCCACTGACTTTGCTTGTGGGAAGCTGGCAGGAATTTGCCCCACCTAATGACCGTGGGATTCAGTTAAGAACAGTAACTGGGACTGCAGAGATTGCTGTCGGTAAGTGATGCGGTTGCACTTTACAACCGCATCACTTGGCGACAGAAATTCTGATCCCAAATGGCATCGTAGGTCGAGTTCTATCTGTTGTCTAGTGGTCATCTGGTACATAGTGATTTAATAAGACTGACACGTAAGTCTGTAGATAAACAACACTTTGCAAAAATGGGTCAAATTCCCAGCTGGAAACTACAAATTATTTACTCACCTTTGCTGTTAAGATTAGAGCACAAAACATAAGGACAGCTGGCATTCTGACTATTGAGAAAAGCAGCTTGTATGTATCCATGATTCCTTTTGTCTCTTCTTTTGATGGTGTTTTCTTGTTTTCCTTTTTCAAAAGTGCAACCAAGGTAGTAGTTATTAAAAAAACAGCACCCCAGAAAAACAGGAAATCTGAAACGATAGATATTCATTCCACTCATAATCCAAAATTTTCATCAATGACCTTTTATTCCAGTCTTTCCTGCAGATTCTTTGAGACTTATGAAACTATAGTGGAATATATCTAAAGAAACCAGATTGGGGCAAGCCACTTTATTCTAAGCACCGAGTAAATATTAAATTACACAGATACTGTGATTAGACTTGAACCATATAAAATAATTAATATATCACCCAAATATGGACATGTGTTTTACAGAAGCTCCCTGTGTCTAACAAACTCTTTTATTCAAGGATATTATATGAGAGCCAGTTTAATGTGCCAGTTAAGGCACCAGGCTAAAAACAAAAGACTGAGAGTTCTAGTCCTGCCTTAGGTACGAAGACAGCTGAGTGACGTTGGGCCAGTCACTTTCTTTCAGCCCTAGGAAACAAGCAATGGCAAACCACTTCTAAAACCATTGCAAGAAAACTGCAGGAATTAGTCTAGTCAAATTGACTTGAAGGCACTAAATAAATAAATAATCCACTTATACTTAATTTGATATACCAAAGCAAGAAGACTGTATACTGATAGTTTAATTTTCGCAAAGAAAAAAAACCCTGTCAAAATGATTTCAGCAGGAATTGATTTCACAATGTGCAATAAAAAATAAAGATGAAGAACGAACATTTTAAAATTTCATTTAAAGATTCAGCATTTTAAGGATTTTTATTTTCAGCCACAAGAAATCCAATTACTTAATAACACTGCATCATAACAATTAATACAACTTGTAAGTTTTACCTTCTTTCGATTTAAGAAATTTTAAACAGAGACTTAAGAATTTAAAATAATATATAATTAGCAAAAAGCGAAGGAGGAGGAGAAGATTATTATTATTTTGATTTAAGAAAGTTTTAACCGGATTGGGAGACCAGAGAGATTTGGAATATTGGTTATTGTGTGATCATGCCTATGCTCCTGTACTGAGCAGAATCCATGTACCCCAAAAATAAAGAATAAAAATCAGTCTCCCAACAGAAGAACATGGGTGACCACAGTGCTTCTCTTAGTGGGTCAATTGTTTTTCTGTATTAAGTGCAGAGATATTTTGCTTTCAGAACCCTCCTACTGCTTGATAACATCCCTGGCCATCCTGTGGCTCTACGATTTGCATATTTAAATCTGGAGATCACATTTTTGTCACCCAATACCATCTCTTTGTCCAAGGTCTGATAAGAACTTTCAGGTCCTACTACAGTTGTTGCACCTTCAGAACAATGCTAGAGCCCATGAAAAATTATCATTCTCCATCAGTTTGTGATTGCTGAAGGACACAACATCATGAACTGCATTGAGAAGATTCGACACTTTCTGCAGTAATGATAACCCACAGATGGAATCCAGTGTAAAAAAGATGTGGCTTGGGCAGTCACCTCTTAACCTACTGCATCCATTCCATCAACAGCAGATGAAGTTGAGTGGATCACCAATCTTGTACATACTGTGCTCTATAAAGGAAGACTAAGTAAAGCACCATCATCTGCCTCTTTGCAAACACAGCTATAGCTACCATGTGACTGGGTCATCCTCACAATGCAATACAATACTTCCCACAACTTTGAGAAGGAAAAAGAGGAAGAATGTACCATGCTTCCTAATTTTGATATCTGTAGTTGTAGAACAGGATTGGAGAGGGTACTGCCAATTTCATCAGTGGAATGAAGGAACACTATTCTTTTATTCTTTATTTTATTCTTTATTCTACAGTAATTCTTTGTTTAAATAAAATAGAGTATTTAAAATATTCAGAAATGTTAATTCTTCATTCCTTTATTTTTTGTTTATCCCTGCCTTATTCTTTAGTCAAAATAAAATGGTGTATGAGAGCAGAAAATCTGAAGTGGCCAAAGAACACTACGTATCTCTTTCCTGCTTTTTACTTGTATTTATGGTGAATTTTGGTTGATTTTTTAAACATTTTCTGGGCCTCTTGAATCTAACATTCCAATTTCAGCAGTTTCATTATCTGCAGTTGAATGTTGGAATGTAACCCTCATGAGTAACAAGATCCACCTATATTACAACACTACCTTTGTTTGGATTTTCTTTGATACTTGATATTCTTTTCTTTCCTTACAAAGGAAGAGATTAATTTTCACTCTGTTGAGGTTACAATGGGTTTTTTGTTTGCTATAATT